AGGATAGGCCATTGCATTTGCCGTCCTGCTAACCCCCAACCAACCGGAGAAATGGTCCCGAATTCGTGAAGTGCAAAATAAGAAGTTAGTAGTGGGTCAAAAACAGGCAGTTTTTTTCTTCGAAATTTGGATTATGGATGCTTCGTTAACTAAAATTATTGATAAGGAGGAGATTCTGGTGGCGGATGGATTCAACATACTCTCACTATGGGGACTCATACACAGCTTAGATACGCGTGCTTTGTCCATCGTGTGCTGATGCGGGATGCAGCTGCGACTTTCGGTTCACCGGTGAGTCCCACAGCCCCTACTTTGTGCTCGCCGATTTATAATTTGCTTTTGAATTTCAAGCTCCCTTATTGTCCCATAAACTAATGCGTCAACTTGTAGTAAGTCGCCAGGGCCATTCTTCTTCGGGTAAATATTAATTTTTGGACAAAACTTGAAGAGGTCTCCCAGCAGAATTTACTCCCAGTTCGCATAATTATCTATAGTGAAATAAAATAGCTCGGTCTGCTTAACTCTATCTACTTCAGTATCAGAAAGTTAGCACTTTTTGAAAATACTGTCGTCCAATGGTTGTAAACGCATCCATCCGATGGCAAGTTTCTGAAAAAAATCGTACGTCAACCCATCAGTTACGAAGCACAAGACAAAAGCATTGTGAGCCGTATTGCTTGGTATGTTTAAGTCTAAAATAGCCGAAAACGCATGGGAACAGATTCAAATGAGTACATTTCCTGCGCCGTTTAGAGTAGCAATGACCACACGTTTCCAAAATGCCAGAATGAAATAATGAGCAGTTCCATTTCTTTACATATTGACTGGAGACTGAAACCCAAAAAAGAATACGGTGTGTGAAAAGAAAATTCACCTGTCTGTAGAGTCGAATCAGGGAACGGGCAGCAGTGACCACGTTTTTATTACGGTACGATCTGTACTGAACCAAGTCGGAAAGAAGATCTTCGTCTACAGCGTACGGGCATCGAGAACAAATCTCCCGGATTGTGTTCAAGCCCACAGTGATGGCTTCGGCAGATGCTCTGTCGGTAACGAAATTGTCTGTTATTGTCCGTACCATGGGTAGAATGGCCTAAGGACCGTGCAAATTTTAAAAACAACATTTACTCAAAGTGTATAAGTAGTTGTAGCTTTTATATATTAATTCCGATCAAAATTCCTTAAAAGGGCAAACAGTCCACTAAGAGGTGACGACGTTAAAATCACGGTATACAAATGTATGGTTCACATCTTACTTCGAACCGCATAAGGAGCTCGCATCTTGACCTACCGAAGGTCGTTCTGCGAAGATCGCCGAACGGCCAAAAAATTTAACTATACGGATTCCGTTTGCACAAAATACGGATTCTTACTTAATTGTGGTGAGTCGGTTAAACTAGTTCTTCACATTAGCGTTCCAATTACAAGAAAAGACAAAAATACTCGAGTCCTAGACCGGTCAACCGTGTGCCATAATTTCTGAGTAATATAAGTACAGTGATTGCGCAATTGGTACATAAGGACCAGCTAGCTTACGTCGGGAGGAACTTGGTCGTGACTGGCTTCCGCTGCAAACAACATAAGTCGGGTGATTTCTATAAAGGAAAAGATAACACAGGTCAAGATTACTGGTAAAAGATTTTTGCAATCGCCAAAATGGTTAAAGTGCCTAAAGAATGCAAGTTCTGCTTTAAAAAAGCGTATCAGAAAGTATTCCAAATAAAAGATAAAAGGTTGCGTGATAATTACCAGGGTTTACGGAATGTGTAGTCAGAAGAAGGCGTCTTAACACAGTTGCACAGCCAACTCATCCAAAAATAGCAAGGCATATCTACAGCAAACGAGAATGCCAAGGAATGTGGGGCGCAATGCCAAGGTCAGATCTATCGGGCTGCCAGGCATTAAACGAATAATGTACAACCTGATGCAAATAGAGAGACAGTAGCAGAAACGGGGCTTTCCGTCGTCGTATTGGACAGAACAGACTGTCGTCAGAAAGCCAAAAACTTACTATAGGATCGTCGTTTGTGTGTTCCATGTGAAGCCAACCCCCTCAAAAAGCTGACACGCGAAATTAATTCGACCCTATTGGCATTAGAGGACTCGGGTGCAATAATGCCATGTGACCGACGCGTGGCAAGAGCGCAAGCAACGGTCTTGGCCTGCTCCTATGGCCTCCCTAAGGTGCAAAAGGAGGGCGTTTCTCTCCGACCCATCGTATTACTGAAAGGCACTCCAACGTACGGACAGGTAGAATGGCTGTTTCGGCGTCTCAAATTTCTGACAACTGATTTGGAGATCACGGTCCATTCATCAACATAATTCTTGGAGGAACTTAAAGGAGTAATTTCCCTGCCAAGTGATATCATGGTTTTCTTTGATGTCACGTCTTTTTTTACCTTTATCCCCCAGAATCTGACAGTCGAGACCGTCAAACTACTCCTACGAAACAAATACGATGAGACGGAAAATCGCCTCGGACACGCCGAAATCCTACAGCTCCTGAAGTTCTGTCTCAGGACGTACTTCACGTTTGACGGAACAATCTACGAGCAGGTGAAGGGAACACCAATGAGTTCATCGATTTCAGGACTCATAGCCGAAGCGGTCCTACAACGATTAGAGTCGGTCTTCTAAAACCACAGACCTAAATTCTGGGCGCGGTATGTGGGTGATACCTTCGTCGTCGTCGAACGGAATTGGGTGCTCACGTTCATTGAACGTCTTAACAGTGTCTTCCCGGACATACAATTTACGATGGAGCAGGAAGAAAACAACCAGCTGGCCTTCCTTGAAGTCCTCGTCTGCTGCAAAGATTGTGGTCACCTAAAGACCAAAGTACTCAGGAAAGTGGCAAGCACGATGCAAATACTGAACTTCAACACTAGCCACCCAATCAGCCACAAACGCACTTACAAAGGGACGCTTTATCGGCGTGTTGAGACGCACGGCATTGGACCAGAAGACAAAGTTGCCGAAATAAAATATTGTCGACGGGTGTTTAGAGGACATAGCTATCCGCGAAACTGCCTCAACCAGCGCATACGCAAACGAGCAGGGCAACAAAATCGCATAGCGTCCACATTTTGGCGAGCGAACCCATGCGTCAAAATGTCTCGGAGGCCGTCCGCTGCCTCGCACAACTCGGAGTTGGAAGCGCACACAGGCCGGAGGCAACCATAGGGCGTCAGATAGTTAAACGAAAAGACCCACTGCCATGAGAAGAAACATCTAGAGACGTCTATAGGATCTGGCGCAGTTGAGGAAAAAGGAACTAGGTCGGAGATACTGGAAGACTGTTCAAGACGCGAATTGCCGAACACGCTGCAGCAGTGAGGAGAGACGACGCCAATTCTCAAGTTGCGGCTCAATCAACGAGGCCCGGCCACACATTCAAATTTGATGAGGCCAAATTTCTCGCGAGAGGTGACAATCGTGTGAGCCGCGAATTGCTTGAGTCATGGTTCACGGGCCCCCCAGTCTAAGAACAAGTGCAACGACCTGCCAAATCCGTTTCGGTACTGAGACTCAATTTGGTCAAGGCACGTCGCCACCTGGGTAACGCACAGGCCAAAGCGTCGTCTAGAGCCAACGCTGGGGAAGTAAATGACCAAGCAATCATCACGTCCAATTCCACCACGTATGATGAAAGTTCAGCAGGGCATGGCCCGCATGCCGGTCATTTAGTAATTAGCGCACAAGCCGGTAATTATCATCGATAGGAGAGTCCTTAACTATCATAAGTGTGCAGTATCATAGTGACCGTATTATATAAATACTGCAACTCCCTGTGCATATATTACTCGTTGCTGCTACTCTTCATGCTAATTTCTCTGACGAAGAATCTGCGACGGACTTCGAAAAGTCTGGCGAATAAGTCTTGCAAATTCTTCTTCTAGGCAACGGTGATATAAATACCGTTTATTTACGACTCCAGTACGGACCAACTACGACTTCAAACGATGAAAACAAAGACTGTCAACTACGGTAGGTGTTGGTCTCTTGGCTACTACGCCACTTGTGTACCGAATTAGCCTTTTATGCAACTGTCACTGATTATGGGTTAGAGAGAACCCAAAATGTCAGGCCAATAAAGGCCGTGTTCCAGCAATCGCATCTTCTTCTTCTGAAGGCGAAGGGTGTACATGCATGCAGGCTAATGATTAAGGTATTTACTCAGTGGAAAGGTATGAACGTGGACATATTGAAATGGGAGAACTAACCACGCTGTTGAGGACGGAGAAACTTTTGCAGGGAGGGGTAGAAGTTCAACAATAGCAGTTGGTGAACACCAATCAAGTGACTAATCAACTCCAGTAGCAGGAGCCGGATC